GACGGGGTTTCACCATGTTGACCAGGATGGTCTCGATCTCTTGACCTCGTGATCCACCCGCCTCGGCCTCCCAAAGTGCTGGGATTACAGGCTTGAGCCACCGCGCCCGGCCTTATTTTTATTTATTTTTAAGACGAGGTTTCGCCATGTTGGTCAAGCTGGTCTTGAACTCCTGACCTCAGGTGATCCTCCCGCCTTGGCCTCCAAAAGTGCTTGGATTACAGGCCTGAGCCACCACGCCCGGCCAGTCTAATATTTTCAATGCTATATATATGCCAATGACTCCCATACTGAGATCTTCCAATCTGATCTCTAACACCCATCCTCTGTTGCAGGCTTATATATACAACTATTTATAACTGCCCACTCGACATCCCTGTTTGAATGTCAGACCTAATATGACCCAAACCAAACTCTCAGTTTGTTGCCAACAATAGTAGTAAACAGAACAAAGAAGTAAAGTACTATGGTATAGCAAAAGCTTCTTTATGGGATACTAGGTAGGCTTTTGAGTACACATATGGTCCTTCCCCCAGTCAAGCAGTATGACATGGAAAAAAACAGTATTCTACATGGCCACCAAACATCAGGTGTACCTTCATGAGGGCCCTCAATCCAGAGGCCTTCTTATTATTCACTATTTGTTGTTGTTGTTGTTGTTGTTGAGATGCAGTCTCGATTGTCGCCCAGTCTAAAGTACAGTGGCAAGATCTTGGCTCACTAACCTCCGCCTCCCCAGTTCAAGCAATTCTCCTGCCTCAGGCTCCCGAGTAGCTGGGATTACAGGTGTGCACCACCATGCCTGGCTAATTATTTTTATTTATTTATTCATTTTTGCTTTGGAGTTTTGCTCTTGTTGCCCAGGCTGGAGTGCAATGGCTCAATCTTGGCTCACCGCAACCTCCATCTCCTGAGTTCAAACAATTCTCCTGCCTCAGCCTCACGAGAAGCTGGGATTACAGGCATGCGCCACCACGCCTGGCTAATTTTGTATTTTTAGTAGAGACAGGGTTTCTCCATGTTGGTCAGGCTTGTCTCGAACTCCTGACCTCAGGTGATCCATCCACCTCAGCCTTCCAAAGTGCTGGGATTATAGGCCTGAGCCACTGCGCCTGGTCTTTATTCACTCTTTTTGGAGAATAAACCTCTAAACTAGCCACAGTGGAGGAGGGAAACCTGCCAAATTCCATGGAGTAGGGGGAGAAATTCCTGGAATTCCACTGCGTTTTCAACAGATTTTCAACAAATGTGCAGCTTTTACTCTCAAGTCCCCATGTCGAAAGACACACGGTGCCGCCAATTCCGGGTCTTTGGATTGCTCCACAGCTTAGATGGGGTTGCTTATCGGCTTTCCTCACTTCCCTTTTAGGGCAAGCTTTCTCCCATCTGCTAATTTCGTCATTTTCCCATTTTTGCATTCCAATTTAGGCAGTTTTGTGGGCTGTTGTCTCTTTTCCAATTTTAGTGTTTAAGTACTTTTTTTTTTTTCTGAAACAGGGTTTTTCTCTCGCCCAGGCTGGAGTGCTGTGGCATGATCTTGACTGACAGCAGCCTCCACCTCCCTGGGCTCAGGTGATCTTCCCACCTGCAATACCACATCCAATTCATTTTGTTGTTGCTGCTGTTGTTGTTGTAGAGGCGGGTTTCATCACGTTGCCCAGGCTGGTTTCAAACTTTGAACTCAAGGCATCCGTCTGCCTCAGCCTCCAAAGAGCTGGGATTACAGGTGTGAGCCACCACACCCAGCCTTCAACTCTTTTTTTTTTTTTTTTGTGGGA